CTGTCATTTTTTTTTTATTTTGCAGAAAAAAGTGCCAAAATCTGAGAAGTCTCACATTTCTCATGCATACCTGTGAAAGTGGAATAAGCAAGGATTGAAGTATTGATATGCAATTGGTGGAAAAGTCCTCAGTTAGACTTAAAATCCAGGTGTCATGACACATCAGTTTTGGGAGAATTTGGGTGTGTATGAGCTGCTGGATAGCTCAGTGGGTTGGGCGTGTGAAGCCCGAGGTTAGGAATTCAATTCCCTACTTGTGCCCCCTGAACGTGGGCTGAGCTTGATTGGCTCCCTTCCTGCTCTGCAACGCTAAGATGATTGCTAAGTTGGTGTGTATGCCTGTGCATGGTTTTCCATAGAACCTTGAGACCCACCAAGTTGTTACAAAGAGTTATGGACTCTGAATTAAAACATTATTTGCCTGAGAATTTGGAGAGGGTGCTACTACTGATCTCAGCTCACTATTTATCCACATGCATAGTTACGTATTTCTGGTTTCTCCCAAGAGCTTTTTTTAATGTCACTATTTACATGGAACTTAAGGATCTTTTTTTTTTTTTTTTAAAAATGTGAATGTTAGCTCAAAACTTATTTTGTGATTCAGAAGGTCAGTGGTTTGTGCATGGCTGCTTTTTGGAATCATCATGGATATATGTGGTTTTTCTAATTTACATGGAACTTAAGGATCTTTTTTTTAAAAAAAAAATTGTGAATTTTCAATGATTGGGAGTTAGAAATCCTTGCTGCAAAAGAATTTTGCAAAATCTGGCACAAAATCTGTAGCAAATAACACAACTAGTACAATGGTTCCCAGATGTTCTTCACCTATAACTCAGGTGTTCTTGAACTATAACTCCCCAAAATCTTGGCCAGCACAGCTAGTGGTGCAGGCTTCTGGGAGTTTTAGTCCTAGAACACCTGGGGACCCAAGGCTGGGAACCTCTGTGCTAACAGATCTTGATGAACCTTCTGCCTTTCTCTTAGGATGTTCATGCAGAGCTCACAAGTCAGTTTACGTAAGAGGGGCATTGATAGCAAGGAGCCATCTGATTGTGTGTGTCTGTTTTGCATGATCTTCTTCTTGAGAAACTCCTCACAGAAGCACAGGAAGTTACTGTGTTTTAGGTCAGACCATGGGTCCATTTGTTTCTGTAACAGAGTAGACAATGGAACCAGTAACCTCGGCAGGCGGTGAGTGCTCCAATGCTAGAGATATTCAAGAGAACATTGGGCAATCATCTGTCAGATCTGCTTTGATGTGTCTTCCTGCCTTGAGAAGGCTCTGGACTTGATGATCTTACATCTGCTTTGATTTGTCTTCCTGCCTTGAGAAGGCTCGATGGTCTTACGGGTCCCTTCCAACTCAATTATTCTATGATTCTACTCTGACTGAGGCAGCTTTTTAAGGTCTTGGACAAAGAAGAATATTTCCCAACACCTGACACTAGATCAGGGTGGAGTTTCTTGGAGTGTCCGACAATAATTCTCCACTGGGAGGATAACGTTTAGGTCAACTTCAGAGTCTGTTTTAGCTCCTCAGAGGCAGAGGCGGAATTCAATCTGCTCCTTCCTCCCTTCGAACAAATTCTCTTAACGTCTGGCATTTTTTTCACTTATAGATGTCTAGAAATGGCAATGAAATCCCCTCGTGTGATACTTATTTTGCATCATTCCTTAAAATACATCTTACTATATACATCTGAATCCATAGCTTTTCTCCTGATCCTAAAATCTTATTTGCTGTCCTAGTTAAGTCAATGTAGTCAATATTTGCTAATTTACTTTTGCATAACAAAAGTAAATGTATATGATGTATACAATCACATGAAATAGTTGATGTATGATTTTTTAAAAATTATTTAATTTCTTTCCCTCAAATATCCTGACATCTCATTTCCAAGGCTTGAGGGGGTGAATCATCTTGAAAATTTACATCTTTATACACTGCAGTTTCATTGGCTTCCTAGTTGTTCAAGGAACAACAGATGGCAGTATTTCTGAAGAGCTTTCGTGGGCATAAATTATTGAAGTTTTACTTTCCAATGTTCAGTGACCATATAACTCATTATCAGTCCTCATCCCCATCCACCAGCAATGAAGGAGACTTTTGCAAGAATAGACTTTTTATCCTCTAAAGGCAGCTCAGATTATAGCATGATAGGAGTTCACTAAGTAAAATTACAGCTGCCATTCACCTCAGCTGAGGATCCAGAACATACCAAGAAAAGAGGTTGATTTCTCGATCTTGACACATCGAGAAATCGTGTTGGAAAAAAGTCCAGCTGTTCCAAGCCTTTTGCCTCCTTCACGAGAGCAGAAAATCCCCAATATCTTTATTTCGTATTTGGTCATTACCAACACTGTGTTTAGTATTGAGGGCTTTTTTCTGCATTAAAAAACTTGCATTTTGTATCAAAACTTTTATGTTGTGCAAAACACAAGCTTTCTGTATAAAATATAAAGTCTTTTTTTAAAAAAAACCTCAGAAAATGTTTTAGGCAAGAGAACACTTCTGTCATTTTTTTTTATTTTGCAGAAAAAAGTGCCAAAATCTGAGAAGTCTCACATTTCTCATGCATACCTGTGAAAGTGGAATAAGCAAGGATTGAAGTATTGATATGCAATTGGTGGAAAAGTCCTCAGTTAGACTTAAAATCCAGGTGTCACGACACACTGGTTTTGGGAGAATTTGGGTG